TATAATAATTAATGTTTATATACATATAATATTTCAATATTTTGTTTAAAAAATTTAGAATATATTTATATTACTCTTATATAAAAATTAAATATTCATTTATCACATTTCATAAAAGCTTTTATATAAAAGAATTCTTTTTTTGAAATTACGTAATTGTTTTCATATTAAATATTTATTTAAAAGATGACAAAATCCATTTTAGATGCAATAATTATTTTCTTGTAATATTAATTATTTTGAGCACCTTGCTTCATATATACATAATTTGAATATATTTGCATTTTATAGATCAACCTTGTGTACAACAATTCTGCCATTGCGCATCGTATCGGTGAGTTAATATTCTGTAACAATTTAACAATTTGGTGTGTGTATAAAGTACCTTTTATGGCCATTTCTGCAGGTTTGCTTAATATTACTAAATTTCTATTTTTCGTTTCAAGAACACTTCAAACTGCAACGATGTCTGTGTAGTTATATTTTTTATGCCTATTATTAAGTACGCTGCAATTTCTTGTGTCGTAAACACGTGTAGTTTCTGAAGAAACAGCACCGTCGCCTTGCATAATCCATATGTGACGCGCGTTCGACTTAACACTCCCTCACATGATTTACTGTCCATTAAGTCACTAATAATAACAATAATACCTATAATATATGAATATAGGGTAATAAAGTATATCACTGATATTGTAACCATAATTTATATTTAATTATCTTCACAACTTTCATTATCATGAATTCTTATAAAAATCCGCTACAATTTGGTAGATTATTCTAGAAATATTGCTTAAATATTGTTCATGAAAATTTCACAAAACGTATAGCGTGTAATAGCTGGATTTCAGCGTGAAGGATGTGTCCAAGGCTCGCCGAATCAATGATCAAAATTTAAATGCTGCACGCACGCATGCACGTGAAACCGATGGCCCACGTGACACGTATTCGCGGAGGTTCGCCAAGAAACATGCGCTTCGGCGCATTTCGTTATGCAACCAGCCGATCGAAGGACAATCCGGTGCACAGTTTGCGATAGTAATTATGCTCCACAAGCGGAAGA